GGCGAAAATGCGAAATTAATCTTCGACTTTATTCCACCGGTAGAAGTTCATTCTCCCCGAGGTCTTTGTGCCTGTGAATTTCGGCCGAGAACATAAAGCATTTGTCATTCATTACGGTTATCGTGTTTTCTTTCAATCTTTTATTCCTATTCTTTTTTATTTTTTTTTCTTTTCTTTTTTCTTTTTTNTCTTTTTTCTTTTTTCTTTTTTTTTTTTTTTTTTTGTTCTCTTTGCTTTATCGCCGAGAGTCGATCAGTTTCAGGAATGAACTTCGACCGCAAATTGCGTAAATTTCGATTTAAAGTCGCGTAATAAAGAAGATTATTTTTTTCTTTTATATATCGCATAAACGTTTTAAACGGACATCGGACGCAGTAACAAGAATTCACGTTCCCATCGTTTTCCCGTGGCGATCATCGCGGATGTTCGATCAAACTTTTACGATACCGCGTTTACGGTTATGATTGTAACGGTTTGCGCGCGATTCTATTATTACGTACGATCGGCATCGGCGAATGATCGCCGGAGCGATTAAATAAAATTTAACGGACGCAATCATAACCGCCTGTATTTCGATTCGGGGGCCGGCTTTAAAATATCGACCTCTGGCGAACGCGGGTACGTACATAGATAATTGAAATCGATGTCGATTCACCGGACACTCGGTCCCGTTTACGAGCAATCGTGGAACGGCGGTCGCGTTCTCCGTCGTTGAATCCCCCTGTTGAAAATTACGCAAAACCGATGCGCGATTTGGACCGCGATTGCGGAGTTAAAATCGAAACGCTCGTCGACGCGACGTTATCCTAAATCATCCGGCTGGAAATGCCGGTGAACGACGATGTTGGACGGGCGCTCGCGCGCGCGCGTAACAACAGTAATCGAGACTGGCTGAAAATTGCACGCAACTCGTGAACCAGCGGAAAAAAATCACTGGCGGAGATTACACGCTAAAATTCAATAGCCGCAACAAAGTATAGCTCTGGCCGCACGATGCAGCCCAGACGAGACTACGTCGTACGTACGGTTCCCTCGAAAGCACGTCGCGTCGTCGCGTCGTGCCTCGCGAACATGACGATGTAATAAGAACGTTAGAGAAAGAGGAATACGTTAACGTTGATCTATGTCATTTTTCAGCCGTAGCTGTAACCAGCAGCACCGTGCCAAGCAGCAGCTCGACCAGCACCGCAGTTTTGGGTGGAGGAGCCGTCGGAATACCACCCC